TTATCAGCAGACTGGCTTATACACAGCTGTGGACATCAAGCCAGATGGGTTTTCCTTTATCACCTCTTTTATTTTAAATGAATAAAAATTTACAGTGAGACAAAAGTAAGTTTCAGTGGGAAAATATGAAATCTCTGTATCTTCTCTATAGTAATAACGAAAGCAGCTTCTGCCATTCCTCTTTAGAAGCCAACTCACTTTGAAAATACTCACTGGGGGTCTGCCATTTCATGAGGCAGGTAGATCTGTGTTATTCACTGCTATTTCCCAGCATGTCATCTGTTTAATAAATTTTTGGATATTGAGTGATTGAATGAATAAATGGATCATGGTTCCAACCTCTGGTCCACCCTCAGGTGACCTCAAGTCAAAGACACAAACATATGGGAAATACAGGATGGATGAAAAAAGAATGTCATTAAGGGAGTAGAGTAGCAGAGTTTGGCTGTTCTGTTTATCTTCATCCAAAATTTATAGAAAGTGCTTTCTATATGATGGGAAGTATGTTAGACCCTTGAATACAAACATGAAGACACAAACCCTGGCTCCAGTGTGTACTTTTCCCTGATCAGATCTTAGTATCTCTCTTCCCACTAGACTGGGAGCTCTGGGAAGACATTGTCCACCACACAGTAAGCACTCCATAAATAATTGATAAATCATCTAATGAGGATTGTAGCCTCCTGAAGGGGTGGGGGTGCATAATCAACGGTATAAAGATAGGATCCTTAGTTGTGAGATAGAAAAGCTGACTCTTGCAGATGTAGTAGAAAAGGTGTACACTGGATATACTAGGTAGCTCCCAGAATTGTTGGAGGGTGTAGAGAATCATGACTAAAGCTAAGTATCCAAGAGTAATAAAAAAAAAAAAAAAACTACTACAGAACTGGTCCAGTGAGGAAACTGTCTTCATTGCAGCTCCCTACCCATACCATTCTGCATAAGCTACACAGTCTTGCAACCACAGAGAAACTGCTGGTGCTGCGTGCTGCCAATGAAGCCAGCCACCTCTGCTGCTATTCATTTCATCAAAACTGGAAGTGCCATACAGAGTCTGTTGCTTTTGGTTGCTCATACCTGAATTTAAGTTTCACATGAATGAGCCTGATTGGCAGATCCTCGGTTACGTTTCTGAGCCCAATTGCAAGGGAGGTTGGGGATTTGAGTTCTAAATAAAGGAGAACTATTCAAAAGACAATATGTATCCATAAATAGGACAGATGTCCACGGTCCTATAGCAATATGTGACAGGAGCTAAACTAGAGTTATACATTCAGACATAGACTTTTGTTCTCATAGTGTTACTGAACAAAAGTGGGGTTTGTGTGGCTGCCTGCTGCCAAACATAGTCATAAAACAAAGGTTGGTGGTAGCGGAAAAAGGCTTTTATTAAAATATCACATAATTAGGGGGAGCAGGAGACGCCCCAACTCCAGGCTCCTCTCTTCCACAAAACAGAGAAAAAAACCCATTTGTTCCCCAAAAGACTGAAATCCAAAACCAAGCGCAGACATCCCACTCCATTCTTACCTGTCCTCCAGAGCACAAGGCTGCTATACGAATGGCTCGGCTTCAGGCTCCCTCCCTGGAGTCCCTGTGTGCAGGGCTGGTGCCGCCATTGCCACGCTGCCGCTGCTTCCCACATCAGGGGCCCGGGCACTGCCGACTATTGCAGCAGGTCATACAGGGGTTCTGTCTGTGGGTCCCGGCACCTGTGGCTGCCCCAGCCCTCAGGGCCAGAGAGCGCACCGGCCTGAGCCTCTGTGCACTGATCTCAAAGAAAGAAAAGGGCCTGTTCCAGGATTGTCCATGTAGCATGGAGGACACCACAGTGTCCCTCAGGCCATGGCCTGGGAACGAGTCCTTGGTGCCTGGCGCAGTGGAGGACTCAGCCTCCACACGAGCTAGCTTCCAACAGGGCAAGCGAGGGGAAGCATCCACATGTTTCTCCCAACCCCACATTGAAATCTCCCAGCCCAAAATTCTGTGCACTCTGGAAGGGTCCACTGTCCCTGACTATCTATTCTTTTTTCCAGGTTATACTGGCAGGTCAGCACCTCCCCTTGCTGCTGGAATGGAGTAGGAGGGCTTTTCCCTGCATCAGTCACCCCCGCCTACCTGCACAGTCTCCACAGGGCCACATTTTGTGGGGTCTAGTCCCAGGATAGGGAAATCTGTCACCACGCCCAAGGCTCAGCTTTGCCCCAGCCACCTCCTGTGTTTCCTGCAACCCCTCCCTCAGTCTGGAGCCTGCCCAGGTCGTCTACCTGTATCAATAGAATTTATATCCTTGTGGGAGAGACAAAAAATAAACATAAAAGAGCTTAATAATGGATAGCACTAGAAGCTACAAAGCTGTGAGGTAGAGTATTCAAGCAAAGCTTTTCTGGCCCTGGCTGAGTAGCTCAGTCACTTGGAATGCAGTCCCCATATTGCATTCCAATCCAAGGTTGATTCTGTGAACGAAGGTTGGTTCAATCCTTGGTCAGGGCACATACAAGAATCAACCAATGAATGCATAAATAAGTGGAATAATAAATTGATATTCCTCTCTCTAATCAACAAATAAAATTTTTTTTAAAAAAAAGTTTTTCTGAGATGAGCAAAGACCTAAACGATGCTAGGGAGCAGCAAACACAAAGGCTCTGGGAAGGAAACTGATTAGCAACCAAGGACCATATCATGGAGGCCCTTGTAGGTCATGAAGACACAGAGCCTGGCTGTGGACACGGGAAAGTGGCAGGGGAATGGCATAATCTGGCATTTGTAGAAGGATCACACTGGCTGCTGTGTGCAGAACAGGTTAGAGGGAAAGAGGGTAGAAGCAGAGAGCCCCAACTGATTAAGTATGAGCAGAGGGATTAGAGCACTAACACCTGCCCAGATGGTTGGGCAGAGGGTGATATAAGAAGGAAATCATAAGAAATGAGGGAAAACTGCCCAGGGGAAGAGGTCAGAAGGCATCTTTGGGCAACAAGAAGAGCAGGAGCAAAGACACAGGGATATGGAAGGCCCTGGTATATTTGCAGAACTTGGAGTAGCCTGGTGAGGTTACAGAGAGGCATTCAGACACGAGACTGGAAGAGTGGAGGAGAGCTAGACTGCCAAGGGCTTTCCAGACTGTTTTATTAGCATTTCATGTCACTAAAGTAAAACGTTGGTGCAGTGATAGGGGCAGAGCCCAAGACAAAACTGGGGCTAGATTCTCCCTCATGGAGTTCAGACCTTTCACAGAAGTTTCTAAGAGGGCAGAAAGGACACAGTTTCTTGCCCTTTTTGTCCCTCCTCAGACTAGAAAAAGCACAGCCAACCCACAGTTCTGTGCTATTATTACCAAAGTGAAGCTGGGCACACCCACATATATCTGAGGTACAGAAATCAGACAGCAGAGAAGACCTGAGTGCTTCTCCATCAAGGTCAGTCCCAGGAAAAATTGTCAAGTAAACATCTTGTATTCCATACTTACTCATTTCACTTCTCAAGTCATCTCACATTCCACCCCAGATTTCCAGACACATGTACACTGAGCCTTAAAGAACATATTAGATGTGGGTTGGTGAAGAGAATGGAAGAGGAAGAGGACATTTCAGAAAGAGAAAACAATGTATGCAAATGCCAGGCACAAGAAAGCACTGTTGCCCGTCGGCAGCCAAACCAAGGCTAGAAAGACTGGCTTAGCCAGCCTGGATTGTGAAATGCTTGGACACCTGGGTACGTAGTCAGTCACCAGAAACAATTTATTCCTAAACCAGATTCCCCAATTAACTAGAGTAGCCAAAAGCTGGGTGTACAGTGCTTGCTTTTTGCCTATGGTGGATGCCATGAATCAACAGATGAAAGCCTATACATTCAGGACAGATTGCCCATGCTAATCTCTATGAGAGATTATCTCCATATTGATAGTTACCCGAGATCAGAAATTACTCTCTCTCATAACATATTTTTGGGAATTAAATGTGATGTGGCCTTTATTTCATAAAATCTGGATCAAATGCCAAAGACCTGCAACATTTAGAGCTTTGCTGGTGGGGGATTCGCCGTGATTTTAAGTGGCGTGGATCCTTGTTTCACCTCAGCTAACGTTTTCCCACCCAAACCAGGACTCAAATCAGCCACAGGTCACTTCTCAGTTCCCGACAGAAAGAACACAGACTTCAGAAGCATTGCAAGTCAAGACAGGTTAGTAGAATTGGCTTCAAGGGCTTAAGAGAGCCTTAGCCAAAAACTATTCAAAACACGTTATTCCATCCGAACTCCGATGGCAGACATCAAGGTGAGAAGGGACTAGGTTAGGTTTGTACAACCTCAGCCTTGGCGGCTGGCTATACTTGCCAAAGAAACGCTACCAACTCTCCTATTCCTTTCTATCCCTGACCACTCCACCTATCTCTTTTTGCGCAGAATGTATCTTTGTCCAGAGATGCAGGGAACCTGTAGAAGAGGATTAAGTACAATTTGTGGTATAGAGATCACGGATATTTACATATGAACTCAAACAATGAATTTGTCTGTCATCTCCACCCTGCTCCCCACCCAACTTAGGCTGGGTCAAGAAAGAAAAGCGCTGCTGACCCAGGAACTCTCAGAGGGAATCCCACCCCCCTGAGTTCCTTTCCTTCACCTCCCTACTCTGCTGCTCTCGCCTGCAAATTTTCCCTCTCTTAGTTGCACGCACCCTCGTGCCCCTCCCGAAAGCTACGCTTCAAAGACATCCTTCCGGGCCTAGCGAAGCCTGGTGTGCCCAGCATCCGGAGAAGCAACGGTGCTCGCTTTTATCGGAGAGAACAAAACTTGCTGTTTCCGACAGTAAAGGAAACTTGCTCGAGAGTTCCTGACTCTCAGGCGCACATCAGAGGGGGAGGCCGGGAGGCGAGTCTGGGCGCCAACCATCGCAAACCCCGCCCCCGCATGCCGGCCCCGCCCCCGCGCCTCCAGCTGGGCGCAGTCCCACCACCCGGGCTAGGCTCGCTACGCCCGTTTCAGGCCCTGCTCTAGCGCCCTATTGGGTCACTGCGGGGCAGGTGGCGGGAGGGCAGGCGTGCGCGGCGGAAGGGGACGCGGAACGGGCTCGGGTGTGGAGAGGCACCTCTCTAGCTAGCGCCACCGCCACCTCGGTTGAAGACCCACGAGGCCGCCGCGTCCTGCCTTGAGAACAATGGGACTCGGCGCGCGAGGTAGCTGGGCCATGTTTTTCGTGGGGGCGCTGCTGGTGCTAGCGCTGCTGAAGGTTGTTGTGGATAGCGAAGCCTCAGAGGGTAAGTGGTTGCGGGGGGGCGCCAGGCCGCGTCTTGGGAGGAGGTGCGCTGCCCAGCGGGAGTTTACAAGTTGGGATCTGGTTGTGAGGAAAGTTCCGCATGTCTTTTGCCGGAAAGCACGGGGCCAAACTGGAGGTGACTGGGCAGGGCCTGGGGAAACTGAGGCTGCGGCCGGCCTCCCACTTGCCCCGGAGCCTCCTGCTGAAGGAATTGTCCGGTCCTTCCCTTCAGTTTTCCTGCAAACGGAGGTTGCAAAACTGAAGGAGTGCGTATAACCTGTTGAGTTACCCGAAGGACGGACCTTCAGCGGAGGGCTCAAGTTAGTTGTACCAGCCCTCCCCTGGAGTTACGTTAGTTGCCCCAGCCTTTCCCTTTATGTAGTGCTTTCTTTTGTACACAGGAGTAGGTGGGCTGGAAACATGTCTACCGGTTCGTTGGGGAACCTTTCAGGAGTCTCCCCAGCGTTTTATTGTCTAATTATGTAGTATCAAAACAAATGATCTATAGTCTCACGTTCCCACACCTTTCAAGTTAAGACTTTGGGGCTAATGTGGCTAATTGGGATATTTGGGGAAGCGCACCCTGCCCTTCGGGGCGCTGGTGAGGCTTATGCCCGGGTGGGAAGGGCGCCTCGTGCCCCTTGTGTGCCATAAACCAGCCGAGACGCGCATCAGTGCATCAGCTGTGCAGCCGTAACATCGCAGCTGACTTTATCGTCAGGACCCCACGACGTCGTCCCGCGAGGTCAGACCTTCTCTCGTCTTGCGGAAAGGGGCTTTCCCTTTTAGGCCTTTGCCCTTTGGGGACTTTAAAACGTCCTATTTGAAATAGGCCAGGAAAATGGGATTTGCTGTGTAAATTACATTTTATTTATAAACTGTTACAGAAGTCAGGGTAATGGTCAGTAAAGTAGAATAAGTTTGTTTAAGGGACTGAAGTTTTTCATGGATTGAAATTATGTCCACCTGCTGTATAATTAGCCTGACATTAGTTTTATCTAGATAAAGAGGACAGTTTGCAAAACCAGACAGTTCAGGCACAACACCTGCTTTTGCTAGAATAATCTGAAACAATAACAACTTTTGTTTGTTTTGCCGATTTCTTTTTTGTTTACTTTGTTGAATTGTGCATGTGGCAAACCGGCTTTGCAGATCTAATTTTGAGATCGTTTGAGAAAAGGATCAGTAAATCATGTTCATTGTATTTTCAGTATTATGAGATGTTTTATTATAAAAGTGAACAATCTGGAATGAAACAATATATCTTGGTGCTAATTTTATACCCATAACTTTGTATTTGTTACTTTGTGAGAGTAATCCTTTTTGTTTCTCTAATGAATTGCCAGTTAAAGAAATTGAGGGTCCTTGCGTTTTTTCTTTTGCCTTCGTAACAAATTTTTTTTTTTTTTTTTTTTTTTTTTTTTTTGCCCTACTTTAACATTTGCTGCTTGTTCTGTTCGTTACTCAGTGTCTCACAAGATGTTAGTGCTATTTGGAAAACTTGGAATGAATGCTTTACCATAAGAAATCCTTTTTCATGAACTAGTATAAACAGCATAAACTGGAATCTGTTTTTTACAGACAATAATGTTACCCTGAAACTAAAGTAAAGAAAGGCCCTGTAGAGGATTTCTCAAAAAAAGCAAGTAAATATTGTCCTAGACTTCATATAGTGTGTAATCTGATGAAGTGTCTTCAGGAAGTACAGTGATATAGCTAATTTTTACTAGATATTTTTAGTAATGCTAACGGAGGTCCATACTGCATCCCATGGAACCCTCCCAGTGTGATCTCCATTTTATAGAAGAAAACTGAGTCTTAGAAGTTACATAACTTATTCTAAGTAAAACAGCTAGTACATGTTTGTCCTCAGAGACTGGAATCCAAACTCTCAGTTAACTATTTTGCCACATTAGGTGATATTGGCTTAACAAGGTGATAATGCTTAAATCCACAATACAGCCATGCCCAGAATATTGTGGGAGAAGATAAAACAACATTACTGAAATCCTTCTTTTAAAATATCCTTCACAGCCTTTTGCATAGTTTCATAAGTATCTTCGGGGTCGGGGAGACAATGAACAAGTTAACAAACAGGATAGATTGTGGTAGTGCAATGAGAAACATTAACGGAAGGGAGACAGGAGAGGTTACTACCAGGACTCCTGGTGACAAGTGACAGAAACACACCGTGAACAATCTTAGGGGAAAGAAGGGACTTGATTGACTCTTCAATGGAAAAGTCCAAGGAGGTCAAATATGTTGTTAGGAGATGGCCATTTCCAGCTTTTTTGATTACACGTATCAGTTCTCAGGCAAGCCGTAGTTAAACTGTTCGCAGACTTCTGGGGAGTTGGAGCTTGCAGGAGACGTGACATTTCAAACAGGGATGTTCTAAAGTGAGTTGCAGGCTTCAAAAACCACCATAATGTGTACCAAACTAGGAAATGAAATCCAGAGTGAGTCTATGCCACTTCATGAATTTAACTTCGTTTTTTTGTTTTTCGTTTTTTGGGGTTTTTTTTTCCCCCCATCCAGTGCATTATTCAGTTGAATACTTGGTCTTTTCTGTAAGGAAAAACATTGGACTTGTACTTAGGGTTGTCTCTTAGGAACAAAAGCAGTGCCTGCCCACAGCAGATACTTCGTGTGTGTTTATTGAAAAAAGGAAAAAAGTTAGTAAGGCTCGAAAGATTTTGTTTTCTTTCTCAAGCAAAAAATAAAAAATAGGTTGCCAGGAAATCATTCCTCAGAAGACTGGCAATAGCTGGGAGGCAAAAAGAGGAGATTTGCAGTAGTCCAGACAAAAGATGATGGCATGTGATAGTGGAGATGACTGGATGAATTCTAGATCTCTTCACGGCGTGGAACTGAACTCACTTGCTAATGGATTGGATGTAGGAGTGAGGAAGAGGAAGGAATCGAAGGATGACATCTTGGTTTGGGGGTTGAACAACTGGCAGTGCATCAACTGGGAAGACTGGGGCAGAGCAGATTCATAATAGAGAATCATCGATTCCATTTCAGCATTCACATGCACAGGCTTTGGAATTAAACAGACTGGTCCAAATCCAGACTCTGCCACTTACTGGCTGAGTGGCCTTCTCTGGGCCTCAGTTCCTGTTACTGCAAAACAGTATTCCTGTCTCAGAATTGTTGGGAGCATTAGATGAGCTAATGCAAGTTACATGCTCCCCAGGAGGCTTGGCATGTACCAAGCTTTTAATAACATCAACATTTGTTTGATACCTACTGCTAAACGCATCTGTATAGTCTACTGACCTTGATCTCTTTCAAGTTTAATCTTCACACCAGATCCTTTTGTGGATTATAGTTCCATCAAAAGGAAGAAATTTGGACTTGCAATAAAGATCCTTCAAATTTGTTATTGCTTACCTTTCTTTGTACTCTGAGGAGTTTTTTTTTTGAGGGGGGGTTCTAACTTTGTGAAAAGTATACAATAATACACTTGCTCTTTTCCTGTGTGGGGGGTGTGTGTGTATAAAATCTTCCATTACACAAAGACACAAGATGAATAAACCAACTGAAAAACTTGCTTAACTGGGGCATAGAATTCCCCTAAACCTTTTCCAAATCTTTAAGGTGCTAATTAAAAATTAAGAGTCATACTGAGAAGGCTTCCATTTAAAAGTGAATTTATCTTCTCTACATTGTATGAAGTTAGGGGTGTTGGTAGTATAAGACCTAGGGGCACCCATGAATAGAAAGGGCTCCTCCCATGATGGCCCACTCCACTCAGAAGATCAGGAGTGTAGTAGCAGAAATTAGTTTTCTTTCTTCCCAGTCACTGTGTCCTCATGTGGGTGAATGAACTTTGGCAAAGCTAGTTCATTCAGTCAGTCAGTCTGGCTGGCACATAGTAAGAACTATGTGTTTGCTACATAAGCTATATGTTTTCTGCATGAAAAATCAATAATATAGTTCCAGATTTATGATAGTATGTTTCATAGCAAGAGTGGCAAAAGTGGAAGTTAGAACTTCTTGTGGAATAACCTACCCTCCCCACACCACCACCACAATATATTACCAGTGTTCTTAGTTAAATATTAAATGTCCATTAATCACAGGCTATTTATTTTTATAGGATCTCCAGGAAGAAAACTTTCCATACTTCTCAAAAGCTCCATTACTAAGTCAACAGATGAGTTTAGAAAGGTTCAAGAAATGGATTTTCATCTGACTAGAATACATAAAGAATTATCAGCCAGGAAAGTATATACATGAAAGTTGGTATACTGACCTGTTCAAACCCCCATTTATGTATGAATCCCTAAAGTCTACCTTAAGGGCTGACCTTAGTAGACATCAATACATGGTAGTCCACTAGATGAATAGTCTTTCTCAGTCCAGCAAAGATGTGAATAAATTCTAAAACTAAAAGCATATTAAAATTTCATACTGTGTTTTTTTAATTCATTGATTTTGGAGAGTGACAGACAGACAACCTTGGTATATCAGGATGATGCACTAACCAACTGAACTACCTAGCCAGGGCCACACTGCATTTTGGAGAATATTTTTAGTTGTGAAGGTTTTGCACTCTGCTTCTAGATATGAAATATGAATCCATAAGTCTGCTTGTCTTGTTGCTGAAACAAGTCACTTTAAGGTGGTCAGCCATGGCAGCCTTGATTTGTCTTGACAGACTCTAAGTAGATCCTTGATTACATTTCAACCATCAGACTTCAGCGCGCCCCTCCCCACACACAAACACATCTTGCTTCCCTGTAGAAACAATTGTTGAGAAATTTTTCTTGTGTTTTCAGTTTGGGAGAAATGGATTTCTTCCTTGGAATTCTGAGTGCACTAGCACTGAAAGACAGAGGAACCAGGTTGATGTCATAAATATCCGTAGTAAAGCATCAGGATGTGTTTTTTATAAGCAATATTTAAATTATCTTTTTATTAATCCTTGTTCAGATTTGATTGATGTAGAAACTAGGAAAAAAATACACAGATTCTATCACTAGACCCATTTTC